AGCTTTTTATTGGAATAATTAGAAATTAATATATTGTGTTTCAACTAAATCTTAATTAATTTAATAAAAATGTAATTATCAATTATATAATAACTTGTAGATAGATTGCTTTATAAAATAATTTAAAAAAAATATATAAAATAAGAAATTGCTTGTTTTTTTCTATGATATTTTGTATATTTGTTTAAAAGTTTATTAAAGTTTGAGAGAACTTTGCAATTAAATGAAATTCGCATCATTTAGCATTCGTATCGTACACCATTTGTTGGTGGAATAAAAGAAAAGGGGATGCGTGTAGTAATTTGAAGGGTGCATAAATCAGAGCATTTCCTCTTATAGTTTACGACAGTGCTGGGCAAACATATTTGCATTGTGCCCCCTCGAATCCGAGAGGAATTGCTAATTGAAATTCGACTAAATTTAGCATAGCAAATGTTTACAATTTCAACAAGCAAGCATGTCAGTCACATTCCTTCCTCCTGGATCTTTCTGGAAGAATTGAGATGCTTATAAACAGACTGGACTATCGACCGTTGCTATTTGCGAATGTGAAGTCACCCTATATTTAGCCCCTGTTTTTATTAACCTTTTCCTGGCTCGATTATGGAAATTAGTTCCAGGAAGCTGTTTCATATCACGCTCTATCAATCTCCCGAACACATGCTACATCGGATCATCAAACTCAGATCTCTTCTAAATATGTTAAAAGATCCGAAGCTGCTGTTCGAAGGTCATCCTAATTTTGGACATGCACTGGATGCATATAAAAGTGGAATTGCGTTCGAAGAGGACAAAGGTTAAAATTGCATTACGGAAAGAATTGATCCGAAATGCCCCCTGCTGACACCGAACGCACACATGCACAGATACACCCCCTTCGTCAGTATTTATAAATAGAGGTGGCGCGTTCTTGAGTTGCATGCAAGGAAACGAAGTGCTTATTTATAGACGAGCAAAGTGTGACTGAGATGGGGGTAGAGGTGGTTTCCTGTTTCGCGTCTCATCACTTTTTAGTTTTAAGTGGGTTTGAATAGTTTGCTGCAAAAGATTTCGGCAATTTAAGTTTATTTAATGAGCTTCTTCCGCAGTTAATCCTGGCGGGGGGTTAAATTGGGCGGAAGACGGAAAGCGCATCAGCCCCGCAGAGCGTCGCGCAAACGGCATTTTTAATAATATTCTTACGAAAACATCCACCCCTAATCCGGCCGCAAATCTGCGACGGAGGTTCTATCGCCGTTTGTAGATTAAGATTTCCAGTTACTGCGGGTCGTTCGTCTGAAAATTAGAATTACGCTCCATTAATAATTCCATTCCATTTTTATGCGCTCGAGTAAATTCAAACCAACCCCCCCAAAACATACACTTCCTCGAAGGGTATTGAGCTGATATATCTTTGTACGCTTCTGGATCAAACTTGCAAACTGCATCGAATATCTTGCAAGGAATTGAATTACAAAGTTTGTTGTTCTACACAGTCTATACACAGTCGCCGATCCAGAGGATTAAATGGAAAATCGGTAAAAATCCCATAACTCCAAATGTATCATCCATCAGACTTAAAATGTGAATCTCAATTGCAAATTAATAATTAATTAATTAAAATATCAACAAAAACTTAAAGTTGGAGTGAAATACTTTTTTTTTAAAGAAAATACAATTACGGCTGTTAATAACGGAAACTCGTAAAAAAGTGAATGACGAAGGAGGCGAAAAATCTAATTCGATTTTAACGAGGCATTAAACTAATATCGACGTTTTATATAATCGGATTAGCATCAGATATTTAAAGTTCAATTGGAAGCTTGAGTGGTTGGTCGGATTTAGCTGGAGCATTAATCGCAGCCCTTGATACCAGCAGATGGCTAATGAGTCTGTTAGACGTGTTTACGTATGGAATGTGCGGTGGCGACGTCAGTTGGGATTTTCGATTTCGGTCGCGACCCGGTGTCTTCCTGTTGTCTCTGCAAACAACGGGATGAACGCGCGATCACAGCGAAAGCACACCATCAGAAGTCCGAACTTCCAATGAGGATTTACTTGTCGTCGGATTAAATGGGAACAAATCACAGACAATCGACGCGCAAAAGTAGCGATAAATACAACTAGTCTAAATCAACATTATTAACAACATTTTAACTATATAAATAAACTATTTGCTTTTGGCATGAGATGTTATATAAACACGGTTACGGTTTTGACAGCAAAAACCGAGACACGACTCTGCCTGAAAAAGGTAACATACTGAACATGTCGGACCTCCGTCAACAAGTTCCATTTTACCTGACAGTCGCATCAATTTTAGCCCTAGACATGCGGTTTCTAATGATTTCGTATGAAAAAAAGAAACTAGTCTATCTTTTACCGCAATTTTCTATTTATAAATTACTTTAATATTTCAATTTGAAACGCTTCAATTTAAAAAATCTTCCATTATTACTTATAATTTAATTCATAATACTGAAATACAAATTCGCGAAAAGAAATTGAAGCAAGATGTCAGAATTTCACACACAAGCGATTGTGGTTGTCAGAAGTTAAACATTGAAAGAGTTTTAATTGGTCGATAAATTAAAGTTTCGGTTACCGTGTGCAATTTCTATTAATATACTTCTATTGATAAAAGCAACATAAGGAGAAAATATGTAGAGTGCAAATAGCGCGAAACCATAAAATATTCTGTTTCTGTGTGTATAGTTGGTATAGTCGTAAAAATGGTAATAACTTAAAACAAATAAATTAACCGTCAGGAAAGCAACTTGTAGCCATGCATATTCAGCAAAATAAGTAATAATGGAACTTAATTACACTAATTGCCTTTTATGCTTTCCCAAACTTGGAGAAAACTTGTTGTATCACCGTTTCGTCGCAACTTTACTATTACATCCTTTCCTTTTACCTGACCATTTATTTAGTAAATATAGAAATTTTCGAGTTTGATTTGAAATTTCTAGTTTATTAATTAATGTAATTAAAATAAGAGATTCAACTTTTGCAATATCAGATATAAAAATATCACAAAATCAGAAGTGGTAATTACATACCTTTTCGGTCGAACAAAAACGAGTTCAAGTACGTGCCGCGAAATCGCATGCAGGGTATAAAACGCAATTTCTATTGAAACACGTATTTCACTTCTTTTTTTTCAACTTTTCTTTGGGTTTTTTTGTTTGAAGGGAAATGAAATTCTAGCGTTTCGATTTTATTATGTCGAATGATTTAAATTAACTAAGATAATTAATATAATCTTTATTTTTTCCTATGGCATCTCGAATTAATTGAGCGGTGATTATATAACATGCGGGATAATTAATAGTGTCTCAGGTGTTCCGTGTTAAGTGTAATGTGGAATTAAGTTGGTTAGTAGTTTCGGTAGGCGTCTATGGAAAGCGAGTTGAATGGTAAACGCGCGATTGTTTCCCAACAATTACCGCAAAAGTTTTCGGGGTAGCGGCGGCGGCGCGCGTACCGTTCAAGAGTTACGCAATCCCGTAATTATTGGGTTGCGGGGGCGCTGTGGTTGTGAGGGTGAGAGGTGGCATCTCCGAAATCCGTAGATGAGGAGAGAGAGAGAGAGACCTGGTTCCTGGCCTGGTAATCGAGTTCCGGTTACGTAATGGCATTAAGTGCTCCGATACAAAGTAAATAAAGTTTTGCTCGACGGCGAAGGAGGAGGGGTGACGGTGGTGATAAAACACGAGCAACGACGAGAACATATTGTTCGTAGATTAACCTCTGCAAAGTTTATATTAATGGAATAAAAGCGGAAGTAAACAAAATCCGGGCCGGAAGTGGATTCCGCACATCGATGCCGGCACCAAACCCGGCGCCTCTCTGTTTCTCTCTCTCTCTTTCTACCCATCCCCGTGGAAATAATAAAAATTGAACTCGTTGAACGGACGAATGCACCGAAAAGGAAGAGCAAATACTATCGATATTGATACAAGTACAAATGTATTTAACTCAAATAATACTTTAATTCGGATACAAAGTTCGTTTCGAAGCCAACTTCAATATTTATACAGACCGTTTCAAACAATGTTCATATATACTAAACGACAGTTTATCAATTACATTACGTTGGGTAAATCACAAATCTAGGTTGAAATTCATTTTGAATTCATTAATATAATAATAAGATTTATTGCAACAAACTTAAGAAAATAACATAATAAGAAAATTAAAACCAAATTGATGTGGTGCAAAGGGAAATGGTAATATTTGAATATAAAATTTGTAAAGAAATTTAAATAATGTTTTTCAGGAAACATATGTTGTTGCCATAATGATGGAATACACTGACAGATCCATTCAGGAACTTTCGG